GATCAATGGTGACACGATTCAGCAGCAAAGGCAGCCAGCAGAAGATACAACAGTAGGGACTGCACAGGTGGGGCTGTGCTCAGAGCACACACAGCAGCTTCACATGTGCTTTCCTGTGCTGGATCCTGGAATACACAGGTAAACTCTTTAGACATAAGAGCACAAGCTTTGCTATCCTCCAGCTGCAGGTTTGCCAGCACAAAGAAGTCATAACATTGCTATGTACTTCCTCAAGCTGGATTTGCATAATGCTAGCCCTTCAGCGGGTACTAGCTAGAAGGAGTTTATATTACAAGACAGAAAAGATCATAAATTTAGTCAGCATGGAATAGCCAAAAGAGATTGGCCAGTATTTACAGAGGGTCTTATTTGCTTTTTCCTTGCTCATCAACTTGTTGGTTGCAGACGAGTCAGCCCAACACCTACAGAGCTCCACAGGATCTGCATCCAATTTTGTCTTTTCTAGCAAGGTTACATAATTCAAGAAACATAGGCCTGGTAGTCTTCTATCTGAGATGAAACCAACAGCTCAAGCCAAACTTTTGAGACAAAGGTGAAAAAGAACCAACTTACGTATGGCATCCATTTCGAGAATTGCTTGCTTGGCCTGGAAGAGAAAAAGTAAGGAGTGAAAAAGTTAAACTGTTAGTAGCAAGGCAAAATGCATTGCATGTTACAGAAAGTAGTGAGTTTATATGTAAATAACAGCAAGTTTAATTTTTGAACTAATAAATATGGTTAGTGGTGGTTTTGGGGCTTTTTCTATGTGTTGAACATGTTACATAAGTGAAGAATAATTTTGCTGATAGGAGCTTACAGAGCTTATCTTCAGGACTGCACACAAAAATCTGTTGGTCACTGTACCCAGCATCTCACTCTTGCACGCCCATATCTCTGTGGGCAGTGCAAGGAGAGGAGGAGTACGTGCTATAGGCACACACGGGTACAAGGCATTTCTGGAGGATGAAGTGATGGCACATCTGACCACAAAATCTACTTTGGGTTCAAAGACTGGGGCTGTGCTGTGATCATGCTGCACACTGGGTCTCCTCCATGGAGACTCAGACCTCCAGAGATCTTTGCAGGTCCCAGAATTTAGAGTTATCAATATGTGTCTCTGCATTATGCTGGGGTCAGCACAAAACTTCCCTAGTATCTGTGAATCATGGGGTTTTGCTGATTTACAGAACATTTCACCCCTAAAATTCAAACAGTTTAACTCCTTTATTATTTATTACCCTGAAGTTGTTGGTACAGAAAATGCTATCAACCTTTCTTCCTTCAAGAGTTTCCTTGAGGAGCAGCTATTAAAAAAAAATCATAATTTGGCTTAAGTAAGATTGGAACAGGATAAAAAGCATCTCATGATTGCCTAAAGTTTGTTCCTTTTTTTTTGAAATAGGAAAAAAATGTGTATGTTTTAGCAAGCATATCAGGATAGCCCATCTGACCTACTTGCCCTTGTACAAGTGCAGTTCGGTTATTTTCCACCAGGTGTCAGATGTGGACTACTATTAAATTCTCCAGAAACTGAGCAGGGAGAAGCTTCACAACTAGCAACTACCAGTTTGTCAGAAGAAAAGATAAAAATAAAAACGTGTAGATAACCTTAGAGATTTATTTCATTAGATTTTTCCTTTCTCAAGTGAAATTATTTCTCTGAGCTGAAAATATTTTTTCTGACATTTTCCCCACAGATAAAAAACAACAAAAAAATTTGAGTAAGAAAAAAATTTGATACAAAAGCTGAGCTCATGCTGTAATTTTCTTTTTACAACCTAATAAACTGAAATGAGTATTTACATTGTAAGCATGGATACTAGCATAAACATTATACCTTCAATAGACTTTGTCAACAAAAAGATAAGAGAAGAACTTGCAATAGAAACTGCTAGGGTTTTTTCTCCCATAATTCTCTTTTCGTTACACTGTTGAAAATGACAGTACAGCACAGTGCATGTCAGTCACAGGTAACATTTTTTAGCCATTACAGCATAAAATTCAGTGAAAAACAAGTCAGGAAAACCCAAAAAACAACAATAAATTCAGTGTGAAAAAAATCCTGTTTCCTCATGAGTCAGTGGCTGCTTTATCTTGGCAACAGCTAACTAGGGCTAACCCCCTTTGAGCGGTATCTGTTACACTGGAAAGCATCACCTAAAGCTTTAAGACTGGATTTCATAAATAAAAGGACAAATTTCCTTATTCCAAGACATTATAGTTATGAATATGGTATCAGTGCCTCATTTTCTCTGACAAAAGTCTTGCTAGCCATCTCACCAAAAAGGGCCAAGATATCCCAGCTAAGGATGGGTGTGTGTAGTTGTAAAGTGAAGTGTATGCTGCCAATGGCTTCACTGCTATAACACCTAATCAAGACTGATTAAAAGTAGCTTGGTAATGTCTACACATGCTGCAATTAGCTCATCTCAGTGTTCTCCAGACAGGTAGTACCAAGCTCAGATACGCTCTTATAGTCAAGCCTTCTTACATTGTACCTCTGTTATTTATGTCAGACAAATGCTGCTAACCCAGTTCGATTCTTCTACTCCTCTACCAAGCCTTGTAGATAATTACTTTTCCATTAATTCTGATGAAATTTTAAAGACATAAGGAAATGACATGTTAATGAACCTTCTGGAGTCTAAACTCTGTATATTGCCATGCTTCTTGCAGCTAACGAGATTGCTTTAAGTTAGTACACATACAAAGAGGTGTCTTGTGGGTTTTTTTAGGGTTTGCTTGATTTCTTTTTTTACCTTGGCAGGAATTTTAGCAGGATGATTTTCTAGAATTAACCTCTTCAAGTGAAGAATCCAAAGGCGCTTGTCTTGCTGTGACTTTGCCTGATAAAAAAATTGAGCACCATGAGAAAAATGTTTTCCTGCACTATGCAGGGTCAGAAACAGCATATGGACATCAGCCAGGTTACCTAGTGGGCAGGGAGGTTTCTGTCATACCTGGACAGTGTGTTGCATCTTGGGATTTTTGTAGTGGAAGACGCTAAAGCTAAGTGGTTCCTTTGGTATTACTTCAACAAGCATCAGGTTCCCACACTGTAACAAAGAGAGGCAACGAGGTGAATAACAGAGGAGTTTTGAGGAGACCTGTAGACAAAGCATTACCACCTGCTCTCTGACATACCAGTATGTGAGCTTTGTATGCAAACATTTCATCTCTCTTTTTTGTAATCAGCAGCATCTTGTCAAAGAGGAACAGTGTGCGCTCATTTTTGGCTCGCTGAATGCGAAATGTTCCTTCCAACACCAGCTCCCCATAACTCGTGAGGTCTGGCCCTTTCCAGTTAGTGAGCAAACTCTGTATCTCCTGCAATAGAAGAACAACCAACATTCATTTCCAAGATCTTACTGAAACAAAGAGCCAAATGATCTGCTGTGGCCACCACCTCTCTCCTGTATGTTCTGCATCCAACAGTGGAAAGTCACCATATACCAGCACTGAGGTTGCTAGGTTATGTGCAACATTGCAGCCAGGGCCCTGGAGGCTTATTGCAAAGCCCAGACCAAAACACACCCTGAGTCCTGGTTACTGCCACTGCACGGACCCAGCAAAGAGCCCTGAGCAAACCTAGGCAACCTGTAATGAAAGAGAGCAACCTTATCTCCCTGTACTTGCAGAGATGGAAAATCATTTGCAATTCAGTCATCAGTCTCTCTCATGTCTGCTCCCTTTCTCCTCTATGTTTCTAACAGATGCCTCTTAATATTTCCCTCTCAGCCTGGGTGTCCTGAAGCTCTGTGGTCTCTCACTGAACGAATTATAATGCCATGTCCAGGTCCTGTAGATCTATCACAGAAGACACTTCTGTGAGGTGTTCTGATTTGAAGACATGATTCCCAGAAGACTAAAGGGCCAGAAGTGATTTTGTCAACTGAACATCTGAAGATTTGCTTGCATTTAAATGATTTGTATAGATACCATAGATATTTCTCACCTTATTTACTACTTAAGAAATAAAACAACAGTTGAAGAAACATCTAAGAATATCTTCACAAGACTGAGTCACTTAGCTATGGTTATTCTCGTTTCCTTGAGCTGCTTGTGTTTTCTGTCAGTGGCAATGTCATGGGACAGCACATTCTAAAAGTAGACTAAACCTTTAACTAGGAAAATCTTTCAGAACATCCATTGAACTTTAAACATGGCAGCATTAGCAAAGCAGGGACAGATTGCCTCATCCTAGGTTGGTCTCTCTAGGACATTAGACTTCAGTACAGCATTCAGCTAGAAAACATGTCCGTGCATTTGAAGCACAAATGCAGGCTAAAGCATTTGCAGGAACAAAACTCCAAAGCATCCCACTTCAGATTATATACACAACTGTCATTAAAAAAAAAGGCATTAAAGAAAAACATTTGCATTTTATCAAATCTCTCCAGGAATTTGTATGTAAGTCAGCATACGGTATAGCGATAAAGTCCACCACTGCTGAGGGAGACTTTGTGCAGGATCTGCTGTTGCAGTACTGCAGTACTTCAGACCTCATGGCAGTGTGATAGCCCACAGAAGACCTATCCTTATGGCTGCCCAAACAGATTTTACTTTTTTTGAAAGGGTAACTATGAACATAAACATTTTCCACAACCCCATACATTTGCCAGTGGAGCTCAATAAACTAAAAAAGAAAAAAGCTTTTTTTTCCCCAAAGCACTTAACCCTCTTTATTGCCAAATATAATTACTCAAATTTATAGCAGACTGTTGTTAAAAGTCATTAGCATGTGTTTCCAGCAATGTGTGGCAAAGGTTACACTGCTGCAGGCAAGACATTGTCAAATATAACCCTATTCTCTCTACACATAAACAACAACAAAACAAAACCAAACAAAAAAACCAGAATTAAACCAAACTACACAAAAAAAGTGCATAAGTTTCATTTACGTTAAAAAGAAAAACAATGGACAAAGAATAACGAGAGATTTCTGAAATTGTATTAGCCTATTACTCCCGTTTATAAACTAAAAAAATCCCCCCAATTTTCTTAAAGTGACATAAATAGAGCTGATGAAAATATAACATAAAATCATAATTCACTGGGAACTTGGAAACAGAATGAAAGTAAAATATCTACAAAAGAGCTTGCTCTCAGTGCCAGAAGTTACTCATGGTGTAGCTTTTGGGTTTTCTCCTCAAAAATTCTTCATTTGAAGTGAAGTTAAACTTTTTCTAAGTATCACGTTTCTAGGTTTATGCTTTTCACAAAGCAATTGATAATGAGTCTTCAAAGGCCCAAGAGGAAAGTACTTAAACAAGAATCAGCACAAGAAATGCCTCAAAACAAAATTAATCAGCACAAAAGGGAGAAATCGGAAACCACAGGATTTCTGAACAAAGCCATGCCCTAGGGTTGTACAGCAGTGCTGTACAATTGAGAGAAAGGAAAAGAGAAGAGTTATCTTAAGTTCTATATTACTGCAAAATAAATGCTTTACAGGATGCTGCTTGTAAGGCAGAGATGTCTGAGATTTTCCCGCACCAGTTAGAACCATGGTTTCCAAGATCAAACAGCCACAGGCATGCTCAACAGGAATCTAAATTATGACTGACAAAGATTAAAAGAAAAGATAAACTAAAATATGTTAATTGCATATATATTGACAAAAACAGCTCACAAGCACTCGTGAAATCTCTTTGGGAACTCACCTGGAGCCGGATGGCATGTTCGTGTTTCCTCTTCATGTCATTTATATGCCATGCCACTCTCTGCATGGTATCTATGGCATCCAGCACCACATCGTAGCCCTCAGTGTCCTTGTCAAGGTGGTTTTCTATTTCCTAAGACATGGGAGGGAAAAAAGCTCCCTTATTCCTAAATGAATTTTCCTAGCCAAATGCAACACTGTGTTTTTATCTGTACTATTTTATCATTGCATTGCAATCACTCTAAAGCAATGTTCCTGCCCTTGTTACTACTGCATGTTGCTACCAATTTGATTAACACAAGATGACTAACAAAGCCAAGCCTTTACGGTCAGTTTAACAGCAACTATACTTGCAGCAGCCGATGTGAACAGAGAGGCACAGAAAGAGAGCACAGCACGCTGACAGGAGACCTTTTCAGACAGCATTTAATGGCTTTCTTAAAACACAGAACGTATCTACACACTTACAAAACCCTGATGGAATTACACTAGGCATTTCTTTACAGTTGGAGAGCAGAAAAGCACCAGACATTTTAAACAAGGATCAGTGTCTTTACACTTCACTAGAACATGACTCTCTAATAGGAAACATATGTGGAAAACGTTAACAATAAAGCAGGAATTTCCGAAACTTGCTTAACTCAATTCACTGAATATGGAAAGAGTTCCCACTTCCTCAGTCATTCCTCTCCACAAAATTCTTACCAGTCGGAGTGTTTATATGTATTTAGTCCTTCTTTTAACTGCCCCCAGCATAGCAACATGTGGAAAAATGCTGTTCTTCATTGGAACAGCAAATTTGTGTACAAAAGTATTTAATCGTGACAAGAATTTTCCAAACAACTTCAGAATTACGGACCAGTTTTAAAAAACCTGCTAATTATTTGGATGCAGACTGATTCAATGTGTCTAAACCAATTACCAAAATTCCCTACTCCAAATATATGTATGTATATGGTGTGAAGTAATGAAGACAGAATAAGTCTCCATATGTATAAATCAAAGAATCACAAAAGGAGAGGCATTTAAGAAAACCCAGAACCTTTCTAACCATCAGGCCTTGCACCAGAGGCAGGAACTTCGATGTGCAGCAGCCCTAAACAAAATACATTTGTAATGAGTGCTTACGTGCAAAAGCAGGTGGTACTTGAGGATGCGTTGGACAGGTTTTAAGAGATAAGAGCCCAGGGGCAGAGAATGCTGCAGTGCTTCTTGCCGCTCTCTGAAGAACTTGGCCAGTGTCTTGTTCCTCATGCACTCTGTCAACACAGCCACAGACCTGAAAACATCCATACGTAGCTTTAAGATACACTGTCTTCCTAAGTCTGTAGGTAAAGTCAAGCATTGTTTCCTTTTTTCCTTGTAAAAGGGGAGCAGCAGATTCCCATTCCAATCACTGCTGGTTCTGTTGGGTGTTGTTTGTTGCTATTTTTTTAGTTATCTTGTGCATTCAGTTATGTTTTTCCTTGACATGCAACCACTCTTACTGAAAATTATAGAGCATTGCAGAATGAGACCATCATTTTTCAAAGAAGGATAAAGCAATGAATAACAAGAACAGATGAGCTTTTTTTTGTAAATTATTGGGGGGTTTGGGGTTCTGTTGTTGTTGTTTGTTTTTTGGGGTTTTTTTTAAACAGGCAAACCTGACCATTCGCCAGTTTGGGAGGGGAAGAAGCTTTTTATTTTTGAATAGACTATAACTTGCATTACATAAACTGTCCAAGAAAGAGAACACATAATTCCTACCTTGGGTAGTTGGTGCAGTACTGTGTATATATGTGGAAATCTTCACTCTGCATGGGGAGAAAAAGTTTACATATATAGAGATTTTGTCAAACTAGCAGCTAACGTGTGCAGGATAAAGTTGATGACCTCCAGATCCTGATCAATGAATTCCCTACTTTCACTGTGATAGTCCTAACACAACCAGAATTTAATTTCACCTGTTTAGGGGGAGATTCTTCCTTTACTCAAAGGAAAAGCCAAGAAAACCTACACAGAGATAAAACAAGTGGCTTTGCAACAGATCCTCCAAGGTACTTTACAAAAATCAAAAAACCCAAAGCACCATCACTACACATACCTGCCTCAAACAGCTGGCTGACACGTACCTAGCTTTTTGTATGCTAAAGCACACACACACACACCATACAATATCCTGCATTGGAAGGGACCCACAACTATCATCAAAGTTCAACTCCTAGCCCCTGCACAGGGCAGCCCAAAGAATCACACCATGTGCCTGGCATAACTTACAGGGAGAAGTAAGTTTTGCAGATTATGTTCAGTGTGCGATTTTCAAGCAATTATAAATACTTTCACATTTGAGCACAGTCTAAGCATGAAGCCACAAAAGCGATTTCCTTTTTTTTCAGAGAATTATGTGAAAGCAGACAGCTATTACCCGAACAAGTTGTAACTGGATTTGGGTGGGTTTCCACACTTGTCTGTCACAGTGAAATTGCTCAAACTTAATGCTGACAAGCTTCTCAAAAGTCTGAGTTTCACTTCTGTCCTCCCTGGCCTAAGAATTTTTCTTAATAATCATCATTTAATTCTATACAAGAACAGGCTTCCAGAAACATTCCCATGTGCTCTAAGTTCACATCTGCCTATCAACTTCTGTCCCAAATAATACACAATTTCTGCAGCTTGCTGAAGACTAAGAAAGCACTGCAGAATGGCAAAGTACTCCCCAAATCAATGACTTCTTCTTTTATGAGCCCTAGACTGATAAACCACCAATTCTCTGGGAGTAAATAAGACCCCAGTTTCCACTCAGAGCATCTTCAGAACAGGCTCTGGCATTCTGGAGCACAATAGTTATGCTCCGTGAGGGGCTGCCTCTTGGGGGTCGTTGCTGGTGAATGGCAAGACTAAATATCTGCCTTCACAGAAGGCAGCAACACCACCTGGGGAGAGAGCTGACACAGGCCGTGGCTTTTCTTTCTCATTATTGGGGTTTAGTTGGTTTTCATTTGGTTGTTCATCAGAAGGAGCCATATCAAGCCATGCCCTTCCCCAATTCCAGTAGCACGGGTCCCGTTCAGGGGTGAAGCAGATTGTGCCACTCATTTCTCCCCTGAACAGTGATCCATAAGGACTCCATATCAAGTAAGATGCTACTCTGCATGAGTATAAGTCATTACAATTAATTTCAGTATGTCTTATTGGATTTCAATAATAACTGTTCTGAAAAAATTAACTCAAGCAAACTTCTAATAAATGTTTCTGCACAGGATTTTGATCCTCATTTAGTCACTCGTGGGCTGCAAGCTTATTAAACAGCTCTTCTCTTAGAAACCAACAAACCAACTAAATGTAGTCTTGATAGAAATACAGTTAAATTATTTAGCTTGGGTTTTCACACTTGAACTAATTTTGCTATTGCAGCTAGTTTTCATGGCAGTGTACCCATGCACACCCAGAGAGAGTGAGCCTGTGTCACAACCTGTTCATGTCCGTGCTTGGGACCACAGCCACACCTCCAAACCCTCTCCACTCAAGATGAAGAATTAACAAACCTCAGAGTGCTGCAGACGTTACACTGTGTAATTTTCCATGGCAATCACTACTAACCTAGCTAGCACTCATAAGTCGTCAAGGTGCTTGAGAGAATATTAGGATGAAATTCAGTATGGTGAAAAAATGTGATTTATTTTATATATGCATATATTAATTCAAGGTTTTCATTTAGGGGCTTCTAGTATAAACTCTAATATATTCCCATGGCTATGGTAACAGAGTAATGCAATTTATAGAACTACTTTATAACAGAGTGCAGAACATTTTGAGCCAATTAATTTATATATATATATATTCTACTCATAGATATAGTCACAATTGTTCTGCTTTTCAAGCAAAAAAGGAAAAGAATATCTCTTGTGAAATTTTAATAAATGAAAGTATTATCTGTAAAACAAACGAGGCCAAACACTTCAGGGTTTCAGAGTGGACTGTGTGCACATTCCCCTCAAGACCAAAAGTCTGAAATGCCCAGGAGCCTTTTCACACTCTCCCTCTTTGGTTTGGTTTGTGGGTTTGGTTTTTTTTTACACAGAGTCAAAACTACTTTTAATGAGTGGGTTTGGGTTTAAAAAATTTTAGTCTAGTTATTAAAAGGAAGAAATTTGTATTAAAAAAGGTAGTTTCTCATGCCCTCAATACCTCTAAACTTTAAGATTGGTTTCACAATCATCCCTGCTTTCTGAACAGACATGATGCTAAATTCTGTACTGCACTTACATGTGTACTCGCTTCATTACACCACAGCTCGTTTCATCACACAAAACCATCAGAGAGCATTTACTTTTACTGAGCTATGCAAGCATAATGCCAGGAGAAAGTCAAGTACATGTAATTTGCCTCCAGGATGAGATTGTTGATACTCAAACTTACAGACATTTTGTGAATCAGCATCACATACCTTGCCTAGGCATCAGCCAGATTCATGCGAACGTGTTGAGAGAGTGGCCAAGAGAACCACTTCTAAGAGAGGTTCTTCCTTGGCCTGACAAAACTGCATTATCAAAGGGACTTTCAGTTCACATGCCCAGCTGGTCTGCTCTACTTCACAACAGATTCCCCAGAGACAGCACTGTGTCACTGGGAGCATATCAGGGCACAAGCTGCACAGGCTAACGTCAGTCCTGTGAACTATGTTCAGAAGCAACAGATAAACCAGAACTAAAATGGATTTAATATTTTTCTGAACACTTTCACACTGTAAGCAAAATGCCAGCTATGCTCATCAGCATTTCTTTGGTCATTCTTAAACTTAGCTTGAAAGGAGTTTTGTTCACCTCAACTGTCTTTGGACCAGATGAAAAATGATCTCTACATGGAGACTGGAATTGCTCCAGAGACAATTTTTAATCTGTGTGCCCAAAGTTGTTGTGGTAGAGACTGCAGAAAAACTGAGACTCAAGCTGAGCGTTCATCTGCACTGCCTGCAAGTCATCCTCAAGAGCAAAGCCAAGCACAAGCAGATCCCAGCTACACATAGCTGGTTCCCCGCTGTGGAGTCAATTCACTGCACATCTCCTCCACGTACATCCCTGATCTTCCCTAACTCTTGGTGCATTGTGCTTTTTTGTAGCCATAAAAGGCACTTTTAAAAAGAAAATGGAGACTAAGAAAATGAGCTGAATCAATGTGTAAGCTGAAGCCAATTGCCTGTATCTCCTCTTCACCAATGAGATGCTAGATTAGACTAATTCTCCCTTTCCCCTTGGTTAAGCTGTTGGTGTGTCTTTCAGAAAACATATGTTCTGAATTTCTGGGGTGCTGAGTGAGGAGAGCGAAGTGCCAGAATTCAGCTCTCCTTTACAACAATTCACTTAAATGTAAATGTGTGGAATACTGAAGTCAATCTTCTAATTAACATTGGCAGCATTACTATGAAAATGAAAGACAGAGTTGGCAAGAAAACTCATAAACAGTCTTCTATGTGAATAATTAAGCTATAGCTAAGCTTGCACTGGAACATTTTTATCAGCTCCAACAGTTACCAGCAAAATGTCTCAAAGACCTTTGACATACTAGAGTTAATACAGTTCTTCTAGACAAAGAGGGAGTACCACAGCTGGTATAAACTAAAATAGTACAACACTAGACTCAGAGGCAGGTTATTTCTGTAAAAGCAGCCATCCTGCACTGTTAAACAAATAGCCATCCACACCATCTGCATTTTGGGGCGGAAAGAGAAAGGCAGCAATTCATGACCGGACAGCAGGTTCTGAAAATTCGTGCTTTTCTGTATTTGTATCTATCTGCCTGTGACTTATTAATGAACTAAAATATCTGGAAGCAGAGGGATTTGATAAAATGTTGTAAGTTGATATTAAACATTTACATTTACATAAAGTCATAGTTTTGCATAGTTATTTTATTGGTTACCGAGTTTTATATTACTGGTTAGTTCCGTTAAAGACATCTTGCTGAAGCCTGTTAAATAAAAGTTGCCATTTTAAGGGCTATTTAGTTTGGGCAGTCAGCAAAACAAATGTTAAGAAAAAGATTCAAATCCACAATTATGTGTTTTTGCTCAAAGGGTGCTAATGTGTTTTGATAATCCTTACTCTATTTCCCTTAAAAGTTGCAAGGCTGTTTACTACTCAAGCATGAAAGTTATACACAGGAAACACAGTGAGGTATGATTGTGTGAGGGATGTACATGAAAAATTTTATTGGGCGAAACCAAAATTCAAAGTCAAGTTCAAATAGAATTATCCAAAGCTAGTTTCAAAAATTAAGCTCCCCAGATGTTTTCACAAATATCAACCATTTTGTTTCAGCGAGCTCCAGAGTTACTTTAACCATCCCTGTTCCGTTATACATGCAAATCAACTTTGTGTCATTTCACATGAATCCTGAGAAAGAAATTACTTTACTTTATGCAGTTACTGAGCTGCATAAAGTGCAAAAAGTAAACAGTTCCTACAGTGAAAACTTGATTCTCAGCAACTATGATATTCACAGCTGAACCAGTAGGGTGAAAAAATGGCACTAGATCCAGAGCTCATGTAACCTAAGCAGTTCCACTAGAAGCATTCAAGCCGTTCCAGCAGAGCTACACCCATTAACTAAGGCTGTGAGTTATGATTTCAGCATGATAATATCCTTGTGTTTAACTCACAGTGAAGAACTAACAGAGTCGAAGCAATCAAACAATAAATGGCCGAAGTCCTGTAAGACTTGAAGGATCATGTGCTGCCAAAAAAAAAGGCAGTTTTATTTCCACTACTCAGTGCTGGGAAGACACAAGCAACCAAGAATGGACAACTGGAGTCTGTTAAGGCAGTCAGCAGCTGCTGTAATGACATCTTCATAGCCAAAGCCAGAACTGTGGGGTATTTTGGTATTGTTTGATTTTGCTTTTAAGTATTTGCACTTGTCTGGATGAAACTAAAAAATGCCTGTGAGGACTGCAATCTCTAGCAATTTCTGAGCCATCAGGCAGTAGTTTGCCAATAATACAAATGCTAAAAGCATTTGACATGGGAACAAAAGGCACAAGCAACGATATGCAGATGGATTTTGGAACGAATGGCTAGAAAGTCTACCAGACAAGCCCTTTCAGTTGGCCAACTTGAATGAGAGCACAACTTTTTCCTGGACTTTTTATTATCACTTGCACCATCTCTGTTTCATATCCCAACAGGAGTGGTCCCAGCAGTCCCAGCTATAAGCAAGCAACTCAACAGAAAGATCTAATAGCTCCAAACTCTGTTATTTGTAACTGGCCTTCAGTGCACAGGCACTCTGCTGACTTACACTCAACTTACTGCCCACCAGGACCCCAGATCATTTTTGCTAAGCTGTTTCCTAGTCAGCCAGACCCAGTCTGCACGTGGGATTATTTTGTTCCAGAAGCAGGACTTTGCACTTGCCCTTATCCCATTCTCTCTCCTTCAATTCAATCCAGGATATCTGTAGCAATAATAACATGCCATAAACCCCACCACAACGGGGCAAAAATACATCCTACTTTTGTAGTAGTGGTGCTAATACTAACGTCTCTCAATGCTTACAAAAGATGAATTACTAGATAAATAACAGCTTTCTCAAACTCAACTGAAGCAAGTGATCTGATGAAACAGCAGCATTAAGCTGGTATCATCAGTCCCCTTTATGGCAAACTTCTTTGTATCACAGCAGTGTCAAACAAATTATTGGAATATCATAAGAGGATGGTCCAGCTAATCCTAAATCCATGTGTTAGACCTAATATATTGAATGCTTGGTTCTCGCAATACTGAGTTCAGGATAAAATATAAAACATGACAGGCTTTGGCTTTTTGGTTTCTTTGGGAGGTTTTTTTTTTTGGCGGGTTGTCTTTTTGTGAGTTGTTGAGGGTTTTTTTTAATACATAAAGACAAACACATATATAAAGAGATTATCCACATTTAAACAACTACATGGCCCCTCTTCCACTCCTCTTCCCCTAGAAATACCACGGAGATGGCATTATTATCTAACACATTTTGGGCTCTACAGATTCAAGGCCTATGTAGATTCTCTGGTCAAGTCTGCAGTGAACTAGCACCATCTGTAGCTCAAATTATTAATTTCTTGTTGTCCTACCCTCTTCTCCTCTCTCACTCCTCTTCTCCCTGACTGGCTCTATGTGTTTCCTACAATGAAGGTCACTTACTTTCTTTCCCTGTATTTCTCCTACACCTAACAAGTTCTGCTTCTCCATATTTTTTGGCTTTAATGTTGCCCAGCAGAATAAAGATGTCAGATCAATGTTCAGAAAGTTCAAAGCATTTCAGAGAGAATGTGATTTGAATCTTAAGGCTAGACTTTGGGCCATCCCCTTTAAAAGGAAAACGAAAGATATAGCTGCAGGACTGAGGAAAATGCATCTCGGGAAACAATATGGCCACAAGTATGTTAATGTCACTGCCTTTTCTAAAAATGCAGCCAAGTTGTATTCTCTAGTTGTTTTTAAGCTGACAAGGCATAACTGTAACACTGCTTGATCACCTACATGAAAAAAATGGAAGAAAAAAAAGAATCCCTGTAATGCTTGATTAAAAAAATAAGTCTAAAAATCAACTCTTAATTAACAGCTCTACCAATTCAGATACACTTACTGAAGAAAATGACATGTTTTTCTTGGCTTTTTAGAAATGAAAATCAGAGATATATCCCCATCAACTACTAAGAGAAATTCCTTCCTTTTCCATAGATTTGCTGACTTTTCTTTGCTGATGTCAACAAACTGTCAGATCACAAAAGCTAATAAATTAATCTTACTCCCCCATATCACTCTGCAACTGGTGTTGTGCTGCAGACTTACCTTGGAAACAAAACAATCTGCTATAGCCACAGGATCATTTTCACAGTTTTCCAAATCTCGCAGAAGTTCACTAAAACAAAGAACAGGAAAAGGTAAGACAACTATGGCACACCTTGGCACAGACACACCTGTATATTCAGAGCCAGACAGTGCTACAACATTCATGGCAGCACTTAATGACTCTGGGAGTCCTAAAAAGAGAACAGGAATCCCCTTGATGCCTCTTCTCCCCCACCAGCCGCTGGGGTTTTCTTGTTTGCAGGCAGAGAAGAACTTTGAGGAAATGGTGTTCTCACATACTTAAAAATTCAAGTCATCACAATGACCATGGATTGGTGATCTGCTAAGCAAAGCTGAGCCTCTTCCTTCAGGTAGATGCCCCATCTCTAGAAATATTCAAGGCCAGGTTGGAAGGGACTCTGAGCAACCCGATCTAGTTGAAGATGGTCCTGCTTACTGTAAGGGGCTGGACTAGACAACCTTAAAAGTCACCCCTTCCAACTAAAACTGTTCTATGATTCTATGACTGACAGCTCTTCTGTGATACTAATAGTGATGTGGTCAGACAGTTGTGTAGCTTGTATATCAACTAACAATGTAAAACTAACAAAATTTAGAAGCTACTGAATAATGTGCCCTGTCCTATAAAGACTCTGTATGTTCTAGGAGCTTTACTTGACCAAGGGAGATGAGGAGCTGGTCTGCAAAATACTGATGAGAACCAGGGATGTATTACACATACAAGAAGAACCTTAAGAAGCTTGCTCAGGAAAATTTGTCTACCTTTAGTGTGTCTGTTTACTGAAGAAAAATGGTTAGGATGTGAAAATTTTTCAGGAAGGGAATATATACATTCTACACACATAAAAACAACACCTTACTGAGAGGATTTTTTAAATTTAGACACACTAATAAGGAAATTAATTCACTGTAACAGGAGCAAAGCAATAAGGGAGCCTGTTCACTGCTGACTGAAACTCAGTTCTTGAAAGCCAATTCAGTGAAAGAAAGAGTTTAAGCAGAAGAAGAAAAACTGAAAGGTATCGTCTTGATCCAAACGATCTTCTGTCTTATTGAAAGATGTACTCAGAAAAACAAGATAAGAAACTGAGTTTTCTTCCAAATTGTTCTTAGTCAGAATTTTCTTATCCCCTTCCTCCCCACAATGATTTTCTGTTTAGGGCTACTTTTCTCCCAGTTCACAGCTGGTTTGCTGAACAAGTTTTGCCTAAGAGTTCATACATCCGTAATCTAGGGAACTACCCTCTTCCCCTCTAAGCAGACACAATTTCCCTCTGTAAGTAAGAAAACGAGTAAACCAGAAGAGTTTCCTGACTTGTTCTTTCCTTCTCTAATTATTGGAGGAAGGAAAGGGAGAAATCAGCAAAAAGTCACAAGGAACAAAGAAAGGCAAAGACCTTAGGTTCAGTGATCACTAATTCACTTTGTACAGCAACAATTCAACCTCCACGCCTCAATTTCTCCCTTCATCAAACTGGGAATAAAAATATGACCGTTGCTTGATACCCCACACTTCGGAAGCTCAAGAGCAAAAGAAGCAAGCTGAGGCAATGATGACCATAACCATTAGTTACACTTGACTGACTGTGTCCAACACATCAGTTTTGGAAATAACATCAAACACTTTTTTTTTTTCCTGCTGTCCTGCAGGCAGATGTTTTCCCAATATGAAATCATGCCCACAAAAAGCATCTGAATTACTGGAACTGCCAAAGTGGACCTTTTCTGAAGGTAAAAATAAATTAAAAGGCTCTAGAGTATGTTTAGGACTCAGAAGCTACATGCCAAATTTCACACAGGAGTAAACATGATCCTTGAAACTATATTGGGATCTACAATAAATGTTCAGTCTTAAAAGCTCACAATTTCTGTGCAGAATTTTGCATCAGAAGGCCTGAAATACATTAGTAATTTACTAGAGGCTTTGGACACCTTTCTAGTGAGTTTTAACTGTTATAACATATCTATCTCTAAAATTGCCCAAAACTGCTCTTTTTTTCCTTTTCTTTTCCTTTTCTTTTGTTTTGTTTTTAACCACCACTGCACATTTTTTTTTAGCTCAGTTATTCTGTATAATGGCTGGTCATACTTCGAAGTATTTTTATTAGGTAATATTTGCAATGATACTGGTATAAACGTGTCCTAGCTATCAAGTCTGTCATTTTTCTAGCTTTTGAAGGATCACAACATGCAATGGACTGTGGTTGTCCATCCTGTGACCACTGGGGAGCTGCAAACTCACAATCATCATCTCAGGGCTCTAAAACAGGCCATGAGTCTGCTCCCACTATGTATTTTCCAGCTCTTAGACATTCAGTCAAGTCAGTTGTTGCAGTAGAAGAGGACATGGCAGCTTTCTGGTTAAGTGTATTTCCATTACTCTGCAGTAGCTATTTTAATTTTCAGGAAACTATTTTAGGTTTCATCTTTGTCCATAAATTCTGAATAGATCCATCCTCACTCTGACACAGAACAGTGATTCCAGCAGCTAAAGCACTTTCAAGTGACTTCCCACGATGATGGAAAAAATATTGAAGATGCTCTTTGACACAAGTGCTCCCTTCAGGATTGTCTTTCAATTAAATTAACTTATCTGTTGTTCTTCAAAGAACCCAGTAGTTTAGGAAACGTTCTGTCAACTACAGCAAAGCTAAGAAAGCTTTTACAGGAGTATTGAGATGTAAAAGGTGTAGGAATTTTATGTCAGTATATTTATTGCATCAGTTGAATATTTAGGTTTTCCTTGAATTCTGCATAAGTTAATTATTTTCTAGTAACAGAGGATTTACACAAAAGTAGCAGCAGCATGCTCCTAAAACTGCAGATACTGATGTCCACACAATGTGTCACTAGCTATAGAAACAAGAAATTTTACTTCAGGATCCCAAGATACACTAGACCCCTATCTGCAGAGTTTTAGAGAAGGCTGGAAAGATACTGAGCAGAAGACTTCATAAATAGAAAGGTAGTTGAACACAGTTTTGAGAAATTAATTCAGGGAGTCCCTAATAATATAAAATACTACCAAAGCCAGGTCTGAGTGATGTACATAGGTACACAAAAGGATCCAATAAAGTAGGAAAAAAATGTCTCTTTAATAAGGCAAGAATTTCATTCACAGTGGTCTTGCAATAGGCTCAGTTAAGGTACAGAGCAGGTTAGACTTACATTCATATAAATTCCCAGCATGAAAACAAAAAAGTAAATGGCGACCACACTTGACCCAGCAAATAAACAGCTAAAAAAATCTGATCTCACCAAACCAACTTTGCTGAGAAACAAAATTCAATCATTTCTCAATTTATATATCTGGCCATATTAAGGGGATAAAAGTGTATTTGGTTGGTTTGCTCCCTCCTATTAGCTCAGGCTGTTTGAACTATTTTCATTTAGTTAAACTTGAATTTACCTGTTGAAATGGTAGATATCCCGTATGTTTCCAAACAGGGCTGATCGCTCTTCTGTCCCCAGGGAGAGCTTGATCTGGTCAGTGATACAGTCAAGGTAATCCTACAAGAGAAATGAGAGTGAGGTCTTCAGACATTTCCTCCTTTTCTAGATCAGTAAACAGACCTATGTTTTATTGTACAAGATGAGTCTCTTCATATCAGTTTCACCTTATTATTACAATAAAGCCTTCAGCAGCCCCTCTGTGAACAGTCACTCTATTATGAATGGTAACAGTACTTACCTGTTCACTGAAACCAAGAAAATAACAAAAGACTGAAAGCTAAGTTATACCTATTAGACAGGACAGCCAACATTTCTCTTGCTACTGATAAATGTTTTCAGATTTCATTCACAGTGACAGTTTAATTGATCATTTGACTGGCTCAAAGACCAAAAAAATGTAAATGTAAGAGATGAAGAATGACATTTAATGCAGCCTTAGTAACAGAAAACCTATATTATGAAGAACAGAAAGTATATATGCAACACAGGCTCAGAAAAGCAACCACCGCAAAAAATTACTTAAAAAAAATCATAGTTACCAAACAATGCAGAGTGTGTAGAGGACAATCTCAATGTATTTATGTGCCTGCAATTTACCACGCACAGAGTTACATTGCAAATAAATTGCTATATACTCTAGCAAAGATTTTTTTTTTTGCATTTACAAGAATGATAGTGTCTCATCCAGGGACTTTAACTGAATATGAACATGACAGTAGAAAAAGCTCAGATCAGCAGTGTTCTGGGAGAACAACTTTCCCATCTCCTCCCTCACTTTGATAAGAGCTCAGTATCACCTTTCATTCTGTTGCTGCTACAGTATTAAAATTGTCAGATAAGGGCAAACAAATCCAGCAGGCTATTTAACTGACTACAACTCATAAAGCAAGAAATCCGATGTGCTGCCACATTCATGAAGAAATTCTGCTGGAGTATGGAAATAAAAGTGAAAACAGCTGAAACAATGAGAAATAAAAATAAATAAAAACCCTCAGCTGGGGCTAGACAACGTGGTATGGCACCTTCCCAAAAGCAACATAACATTCCACAGTGCTGCAAGAAAGGAACTCTGCAAAACGTCAATGAGACTGTGAAAACTTCTAAGATATAACTGTGTTCCTGAGTCATAAAGAAAAGGTATTACAGAACACATACACTGGCCAAGATTTATTCTGTGTAAATTCTGTGAAGTCAAAGGGTTTGGATCAACCATGGATCTGACTTTTGGATTTCAGATGCCCTCATAAGGAAGGTTAAGAATTGCAGCACTTGAGCCTCCATGCCCATGTCCTTCTTTCCAACTGAAATAGTGTTACAGAGTCACAGGTGTAACCAAGATTAAGGTCTAGGTACCAGCAGACTTTCCTGTCCCTCCCCCTATCCTAATGTTCAATAATCCTCACTTTCGCCACCATGAGTTAAAGGTACCCCTTACCACCCCCAGGGAAAGCCAGCAAGTCTACTCCATGGCAACCTCAGTGTCTTTAGGAAGAGCAACAAGTGGCAGTGGGCAGGCAAGCAGGCATGTCCCTAGAGAGCCATGTCATCTCTTCTGTGATGGCATCTGACCTGTACTCTACCTTCTCTCCTAGCTGAGAGGCACCTCACAGCCCATACCTGTCCTTGAAATATGTTTGTGCAGTAAGGCATTGGAACCATATCCCTGGGACTCCCTGCACTTGTCCTTGGCTTTTTATTTATATTCAGAAGTTGCAGAAGAGTAAGAGGCTCAAGACAGTGAGGCAGGTGGGACTGCTACAAGCAATACATTAGGTCAAAGGCAGAAGCAGATGATAGATTCAGGGCTACTTCAGTGATGGTATTAAATAAATAACCTTATCTGACCACAGATACACATCTTCATATAAAAGAAAGAACAGAAAAGCTTCAGTGGAATTGTGATGCTCTGAACACATTTTTAGCCCTGCAGGAACACTACAGCACCCTGAGCTGATATGATGGGGTGAGCTGCGGAGGAATGGAAATCTTACAATAAGTAACTCCATACAGTGCATTTAATGAATAAAGAGGAATTCATTTCAAATTCATTCATCTCAGCATAGCTGGAGTTTGGGTTTCTTCAAAATAACAAACAGTCCACACTTATTTAAAGTATCATAGCCAGTGTTATATGCATGACCTGGTTTTTGCTCCTTTTGTGCTCTTATCCCAGTGTTCCTCCACAAAGCATACTCTTCTTGGACTTTTACCAATTAAGAAAATAAGAAAGAGGGAACCAGGTACTTTCTAATGTTGCTGCCAAGCAACAGCCTACAGGTGCTTTGGCAGCTTTCCTGCACTCCCGTAGCATATGCCAATATTGGCTAATATACCACACACCCACAGTCTGTGCTCTATTTTGCTAGAAGTTCCTTAAAACTGTGCTTCAGGCCCCCTTCTTCATCCATCATCAGATCAGAAACAAACCAGAAACTAACGGTTGGATTTGTGCTTACCTAGGGTAAGGGGAGATGGTTATTGCTTGAAATGCTTGGGATTCAGAGCTACCTTGCATCTCACCTCATACTGTCAGGAAATCACACAGGATTTGAGGACTGCTTTCCTGTTTTAGCTTTCTATATTATTGTTAATATTGCTGACTTGACACTACAGACATGTGTGCATTGCTGTTACTGGTGTAAGCAGATACCTGAGCTAGACACAAACTGCCTAACATGCTACAGACAGTAGGGTAGAAACAGCAGCAAAAAGCTCCAGGTATCTGTGTTTATGTGAAAAAGGTGGATATTGGACGGTCTTGACACCATAGTTTCATGAAGTACAGGCACAGCACAGCAGCACACCACTTGCACTGACTCAGCAAGTGGGACCTGTCTGATTATACTGATTTATAGAGCACGTGTGCCCTCATAAAGGCTTCACGAACTCATCCAGGAAAACAGATGTGGTGTTGGCATATAATGCCCTCTGCAAGGACAACACCACAGGCAGATCAAAGCTACCCAGACATGGGGTTTTTCCCAATTATTTCTTAGCAAATGGTACTTTACCCCCATGGTAGTCACTTCAACCTCCTGCCGTGTATCAACAGCTGTTATCATCTGAAGCCATAATGAAAGGTTTGGAGCTACAAGATAACAGGGCAGGCTGCAACTATAATGACATAGTGCAGAAATCAATGAAATTTATCAGAACAGAGTACCGGCCCTATTCACTTTATTTGTTTCTTGTCAGCATCTACAAACCCTCTGTCGGCACTGAATGATTTGTTTATGACCTTTGCCTTCACTAGCCTTTTATTGCTATTCTGTAGTTATGGCAAAAACATTTAGCTTACTTTATAGGAGGAAAAAACCACACAAACGTCAATCTCCTTAGATTGATTTACAGACCAAGGTTTGCTCTAATGGCATTGCACAATTTTCCCCTCCTATTTCCTGAAACTCTCCAAAAACTAGAAGAGTCTTGCCAGACTGCCCTGCCTTCCTTGCTGGGTTTGACGTTCTCCCCATTTGTCTTTCATCATGCCAAATCCATCAGAAGGAATGTCTTCTAGAAGCTATATATCCTGACTACCATCTCCTCCTCCATAATCACACAAGAAAGATCTAGAGAATAAAATGATGAAAACATACATATCACTCAGATGCCAGTTTTCTGATATTCCCTAAATCTGTGCTACTAGTAAAGCAGTTTTTACTCTTACGTACTATACCATACTAATGGTTTTTTTCCCCCAATGCCCCTCTACCCAACAAAGATGTGCTTGGCCAAAATCAAATGGCTGTGCGGAAAAGAAACCACTGACATGGTTGAGCAGTCTTGGCCACCTAAGCTCTACTTTCACACCACTTGAAGGAAAAGGCTGCAGGCCAGAAGGAAAACATGCCATAAACTGGATCCTGTTTGCACCCTTCTAGCTAGAGCCATACTGCCAAAAGAAGCTATACACTTGCTAACAAAGAGAAAGTTGGGCAGCAGATGTACAACAGAATAACCACTGTGGCATGCTTGCCATTGCATATTCTGCTAATTCCATAGGTAATTATAACATGTATCAATGCACCTTTTGCTTGATTTTGCCCTATTCTTTATTTCATCACTATGTATTTCTTAATTTATCCTGCATGTATAGTAACATGCTCTGAATGCTTTGTGGGCCAAAACTTAGCTTGCCTTCCACACAACAGGTGGCCAAGGATGCTGAATTTTGGTAAGAGCAACTCATAGCAGCACTTTTCAATTATTTAAAGTACAGCTGTACTCTGCAAAGTGAATGTGTAGTTGTAAACTAAGCATGCTTCGCTTTCTTGCTCTGGTTCCTTTGGTTATATGAGCCCAAGAACTGACTGAAACCAAAATCAAATCCATCTCCTTCCCATAACAAAACCTATTGTCAGGATTTCTCCCTAAAACACATAACTATCTTTGTTGTCATCGCCTTTTGTGATGGAAAAAGACAAGCCAACTATTCTAGTGCACGTCTCCTGTAATCTGCACAGTGGTTTACCTGGAGCCACCTGCAGCAAAACATTTCATGGAGCCAATCTTACACTTGACAGATTTCTGAGTTTTTTCCTCTCTTCACCTTCTGTTTTCCATATTCTTCCTTTTCAGTCTCTGTTACTGGTCAAAACTGGTCACATATGTATAGGCAGCCTCATTTTGACTGAAACCATCCTTCCCTTTGGAGAGTGAATATGCTTTCCCAATTGCTCTTAAAAGCATTTCCCACCTCCCATCCCATGTCAAAGCCCTTGTCATTTTCAGCCATCCAGAGACAGCCTGGCACACTTCCATGTGACAGGCAGAAATTCATGGGCCCTTAACCTCCCACTTCTGAAACTCCTTTATAGAAGAAGCAGAAGTGGCAGCAGGTCTGCTTCAGTGCCCTACTTGTACTAGTTCAATGGAGAGGAGAGGAACTTTACAAACACTCTTTGCTGTAATGGTAAGAATTTGCTATCTAGCAGCAATTGTTTCCAGTTTCAACATAAGTAACACAAACACTAACCTAGGGTACATGCAACACACATTGTAATACAGTAGGCTAAATACTTACAGTTAACTAATAAAACAAACATATGATGCTCAAA